TACTTCTGCCTTCAATAGAATGCCAATTTCAGGTGCGAAAACCTCAGTAGTAAGTACTCTATAAATAGAGGCATATTTAAATAATCAGAGCAGCCTAGGTGGAAGCAGTTGTATAAAGAGTTCTGCCATAAAATTAAATCCCTGTCAAGGTTCCCCCCCTCACATTCTGATGTGGCACAAAGAATTGCAGGCTGCCTCGCTGTATATTGTTTAGCAGACTATAGAAATAATAGGGTTCTATTAATATAATCCAGAAACCAGAGCACACATTTGGAATTAGAAAAAGGCAATTCGGACCATGCAAGCATAAGCATTGTGGATCCGTCTACATTACAAAGAGCTGTAGCCTCCACATTTTTACTCGGGAAATGCTGTGTACAGGGATAACACTTTCCTTTCCACACAAACAATGGATGGAATTCAACATAGCACTAAGTGGGGTATGTGGGATGAAAGCATCCCAAATGCTAAGTGAAGGGTTATAGCATTCCAATACAGTACTCTGTGATGTCATACACCTTCTGCCAGAGACAGTTATGGCAGTTGGTACAGTTATGGCAGTTATTAACGGTCTTTTTGAGCAGCTGAGAAGTAGGTCTGTTCTGTTGTGCTGCTGTCTGCTTCAGAGTTAGTCTGCAACAGTTTTTGTCTTAGATACCACTCTATGTAATATGAATTAGTAGCATAAGTAACACCTGCCTGTCTTGTATCTTTAAACCGACAAGTGCAAGTACACTGAGCAAAAGTTATTTGTTATTTGAACTTTAAAAGAGAGTTTCCTGTGTATTTTTTAGGGAGGGAAAAGGGAACTAATTAAAGGGTGAAACTACCCGGTCTCTTCCTTTTGCATAGCTCTGTAAATGGGAACTAGAATCAAATTCCCACAGGGAATACCTATGGGGAACAAGGTCTCCTCGCACAATGGGACTTCCCTCACTGCCCTCCCCAATGCCCTTGTAGCTGTTCCACAAATCTCCAGAGCAGATTTAAGAGGTGCAGAGAGAAAAGGAGGAGGAAGGTCTCATTCTGTGAGTGGACCGCATTCCATGAATGCCACAATTTAGTGGAATCCCACCTCTAAGGCTGTAGGAGTTGCTAGGAGACGCCTGTTTCTCTCGCAGAGCTACAATTCCCAAGATCCTGGGAAGAGGGATTGATGCTGAATATCGTAACTCTGTGAGGGGAACAGTACCCTTAACAAACTACACTTCCCAGCATTCTTTGGTAGTTAAACCATGATAGTTTAAAGTGGTACGATATTGCTTTAAATGTATAGTGCAGATGGAGCCTTTTAAAACAGGGATTAAATCACAGACCTACGGTTCCCAGCATCCTCAACAAGCTACAGCTCTTGGATTCTCCATGAGGTGAAAGTGGTGTAAGAGTGCTTTAAAATATGGTGTAAATATGACTTCAGGCACTTAGCAGCAACTGTGTCATCTGAATTATGTTTGAAGCAGGTCTAGGTGTAACACAGGTAGCTTATAAGGTATATTCTTGTAATATTCAGAATACCGCTTCTCCTTTCAAAGAGTATATAGATGTACTTTCGAAGAGTATTTTAACGTCCCTACTGTAGCTAAAGATGCTATGACCATACTAAAAACTTGGAGCCCCTAAAGCAAGTCCCATTGAGTTAAATATGGCTTATTTCCAATTAAGTTTGCATAGGTTGCAATTTTACAACAGCTGCTTGGTTCATAATACTACTGCCAGTCTCTTGGCAGGGACTAGTTATTTGGAGTATGTGACTCCACTGCTATTTAATCTGTGTTGGCTTTTGGTATGCTCAATTCAAAGTGATGGCTGTTACTTTTAATATTCTATATAGTTTCAGTCTGGGATATTTGAAAGACTACCTTCTCCCACATTACTCTCCCCCCTGTGGAGACTATGCTCTCACCTTTCTCCTATCTGAGATATGTTTAGTGCATTCATTGGGACAGGGTCTTCTCGGTGGTGGTGCCTACACTCTAGATCTCGCTCCTCAGAAGGCTCATTTAGCACTTCCCCTCCCAGCCATCAAGAAGATTGGCAAAGCAGTCTTGTTCAGTCATGCTTTTGTGCTGAGAACCGGAGTTTTATTTATGATGCTGCAGTGTTGCTCATTTTAAAAACTGATGTTATTGTTTTCTTACATTTACAAACTGCTTTGAGAGGACATGCTGGGGTGAAAGGCAGCATATAAATATTTATATTAATAAATAAATATACATTTGCAAATATATATGAAGTAAATGACTAAGTTTTAAGTATATTGCCCAGGGTAATTGCCCAAAGCATATAATATGACATTAACTGAGGATGGGCGGTTGGTTACTACAGCTATACTATTGCTAATGCTTCTAAATACAGTACGGTACATTCCTGTCTGGAATTTGCAGGGCAAAAAAAAAGTCTCTGATGCTTTTGAACTTTTTGTTGCCCCCTCTGTGATTCCCCTGTAACAATTTTCAAGGCCAACTAAACCTTTGCTGTTAGGAAGATGAATTTTATTCTCATCTTAAAATTCTCCTGGGAGGGTTTCATTGTAATAGTTAGTACAGCTGGCTACATTCATTCAAACTGCCTCTTGAAGTCTTTAGGGTGTGATATTTCAGTAATCCCAAATTGAGATTAAATGAAACAAAAATGGGTGAGAATGTACAGCCACAGAGAAGCCAAAGGCACCCACTCTCTCTATGAACATCTAGGCTCAGCTCTGTACACTTTAGATTCACCACTTTACCACAAGCACCACACAGTCACCACAGTTATTTCCTGTTCTTATTATAAGATAAATTTGTGGTTTCTTTGTCAAGGCTGCATTTCTTTCTGCCTGTCTGATATTACTGCTTGGATGTTCCGCAGCTTCTTTCACTTTCCTCTGGCTACATCTCTCTTTCCTATCTTTTGGTTCAATTGTTCTGCTTTCTCCATCTTTCATGCTGGCCTGATACAGAAGTAGTGTTAAACTATGTGCTCTAATGAACGTTCTGTCACCTTTAAAAGCAAGTTTTACATCATTTTCACTCTAGGTATCATTCGGCCTGTTTTATCACCTGTAACTCCTCAGAGTACTAAGGAGTAGCACAGGTCCTAAGCACAAGAAGGGGCACTGGGGAACAATTGTGTCAATGGCCTATCACATTTCACCATTCCAAGGTGACATTATTTATTCACTTATTTACCACTTAAATGCCATTCCTGTCAAAAAAATTCCTAGGGTATTTAGGAATCCAACAGATTTCATATGTCTCCAGAGGTGGACCATCTTAATGGAGCCACAACTTAGTGGAGGAACTGCCATTGTTGACCAGGAAATTGTCTGACTGTGACAATGGGATTATCTCACCTCCTCCTATCTCCACACCATCACATTCATATCAGATGATTCAAAAACTAAGGGCAGGCAACAAAGTCCCATGGTTGTCATGAAGGCCATGAAATCTTGAGCTGGATCATTAACAGCAGTCTCAGTGTGAATGTTGAAGTTCCCCAAGACAATGGTCCTGAAGTTCTTCAGCATCATGCCTGAGACCACCACAACCAGCTTCACTTTCCTAGGGTTAAGAATAACACCCAATGTTTTCTGGCTGTGTTAGCCTTTTAGAAATGGTACCTGCATCTTTTTCAAAACTTAATCATTATTATTTTTATTTAAAAAAAACACTTTCATTTTATTAGCAGAACTTAAAAACCATCATAAAAACCATGAACCCCAAAGTCCTAGCTCCATATATTGAACACATAGTTCATTTATTTGAAATAGTTTTAATCCAGCCTTTATCAATACATGATAATAGGATGGGGTGCAATCACTTAAAAATCAAACATACAATCAGCATGCACCAAGATAAAGGGACCAGACAAAATCATAACCAGATTGGCAGTAGCAGAAAAGTTAACAAACAACAACAAAACTGGTCAATTTATTTTATCATCATAAAAGCCCACTGGAATAAGTTGCTGTTCAACCGTCACCTGAAACTACTCAAGAGATGGCACCGGAAACTACTCAGGATTGGCACCAGTCATATACCTGAGGGGCGGCATTCCATAATCAGGGTGCCATTGCAGAGTAATCCTAGTCTCTGGTTGCCACATAACAGATGTCCTTTGGGTGCAGAACAACTTAACTTTAATGCCATTAACTAAAGACAGGGCCTTCATTGAACATACAAGGGATGGGATAAAGCACTTTTTGAATCAGCCTTTAATATAAAGGAGGTTATTAATGTTATGTTTTTGATGGCTCAGCCAGCTGTACCATGTCATATAGTAATGTGACTTTAGTTCATCAATGAAAACTTCCCAGCCCTGGATGGAATTCAACATCACAGTATTACAAGCATTCCATTTGCATAAGGATATAAGCTTGCCAGACAGAATGATTCCCCTTTCCCTCCCGTCATGTGCTGTTTTTTTGAGTTATCCCCCCCCCCGAGTCCACTTCAGAGGGAATAGGGGGTGCACACAGGGGAAGGAGAGGGGGGAAAGCTCCTTTGTGCAAGCATATAGCATAGGAAAAATGTATAACTTTTAAGCGAACGGTTCACATAACAAATATCAATGTAATAAATGCATTACATTGATGTATATTAAATGTTTGCATACTTTCCCCATACCATTTTTAAATATTCTATAAAATGAATTAAAAACTCTACGTCCAATACACTTGCATTAATATTCTAAACTGTGCTGCTAAACAAGCCTATACAGTAGGGGTTGCAGCTAAGATTCAATCACAATGTGTGAATAACAAGTTAATAAACAGAAGATGCAATTATTGTAATTACTTTAATGATTTCCATGTGATCTGATTTGATATATTGTATGGCTGTGCAATAAAGCAATATTGGTTGATTGATTAAATGTTAAATATGCCATCATGTCTGCAGCTAAACCCAAACAGGTTTCTTCAGAAGTAAGTCCCACTGAGCTCAAAGAAACTCACTTCCTCTTAAGTATGCCTAGAGGAAAACACAGTGAAGACAAAACACATTTAATTTTTCACTTACCATTTGAGATCTATTCTTTGGACAGCCATTGATGTCTTCAATTTTCTCATTTGCTAAAAATGAACAGACAGAATTATTTCAAAACAAAACCTATTGTAAAGACACCTGGTGCAGTTATTCTCAGAGCACTTGTTGCAACTAAATCAAACAGCCTAGAGCTATGGTTGCCCAATCAAAACAAATGTGTGAAACACCCAGAGCCATCCGGTGAAATTCTTCTTCTGAGCCATTCCTCTAGAGACAGCTGGAGAAGGTCACCACCATTTCAAAAAGAGACAACTGGGCTGACAGCAATTCTTAAAGTGATGGGTAATCTTTGCCAGACCAATTGTTTCAAATCTGGAAGCCACATCACTCTTTATGCATGAGTGCATGGCTGGTTTGCTTAATAAGCCATGCAGATGTACAAGTCAGATGTAAATAAATTACATTTTTTAAAAATTCTCATTTACTTTACAAGCAGTGGGTGAAGTCTGTTGTTGATGACACATTTCCAAGATCTAGCAACTAACCTGAACCTACAAAGTATAAATGCACATGGTGCAAATATATTCCGCTACTGTGCAATTTAGTCCAGAGGTGTTGATGATACTCAATATTCTGATTCACAGGATTCCACAATTCCTTGACTCAATCATCTTTCTTTCCCAATTCTTTCAAAGTATTTTGTGCCATCATAGTTGTTGGGACAGTGGCAGCATATGAATTAAAGGCAGTTGGGAGGCCAAGACTCTGAGGCCTACCCAGTTGATCCTATGAATTGTCATAAGGAATTGAAAGGCTCTGGGCTGGTAACTGAAGGGGTGTTAAGTTAACATATTAAGATAAATCAGGAATGCTCCCACTGGCTACACCCCAGATGCTGATGAACATGCCTGAACATGCCTGAACATGCCTGAACATGCCTGAACATGCCTCCAGGTGGCTACATATCTGATTTTAGTGAGAAAGTGGCCTTGCATATGTGTGGCATATGGCTCCTCCATAACTCTGGCCTGTGCAGCCATTCTAGTTTACCAGAAAGTTGTAACCCCTAGTACGTTGTACATGCAGAAGGGCCCTCTTCCATTACTGCCAGATGTGCAGCCACTGAGAGCCCAGAGAACACGCTGGCATCAGGAGGGGTGGCCAGTGGGCACACTCCCGCTCACATGGACATCCAGTGACTCAACTCCAAGTTTCACACAGGCCATTAGTGACAAAACATTGGCTTCATTCACACATCATAGTAAGCCGCAGTCTAAGAAAAACTATGGTTTACCACAGTGTGATGTGCATGCTGGTCAATCGTGACCACTTTGCTCCTCTCCGGAGTCAGCTCAAAAACAAACTGTGGAGTGGCTGGCTTACTGTTCTGTGTGAACCAGCACTTGAGGCTTGTTTCTCTTGAAGTCAAAGTTTGTTCTTGGCTTCGTGTTGTGTGAGTTCACACATAGTGGTAAGCCAAACACTGTACAGTGGTACCTCGGGTTACATACGCTTCAGGTTACATACGCTTCAGGTTACAGACTCCACTAACCCAGAAATAGTGCTTCAGGTTAAGAACTTTGCTTCAGGATGAGAACAGAAATCAGGCTCCGGCAGCTTGGCAGCAGCAGGAAGCCCCATTAGCTAAAGTGGTGCTTCAGGTTAAGAACAGTTTCAGGTTAAGTACGGACCTCCGGAACGAATTAAGTACTTAACCCGAGGTACCACTGTATTATTTGTTTTCTGGCTCTGGTCAGGGTAGACCAAAGCAAGCATGATTCGGCACCATGCACCAGCACTCCACTCATTCGTGGTAAGCCACAGGTTATTTCTAGCCATGGCTTACTGTTACAAGGAAAGAGGGCAGTAGGTTAGCCAATGGCTTCAAAGTGGGAGAGAAAGTAGAGAAAGAAATAGTAAGAGTGGTAGACAATTATTTTAATATTCCAGATGGCTCGAGAGATATATCTTGCTCAAACAACTTCATCTAAACCATGTATCTTCAACCTTTTCAGACCCAGGACCCACATTTAACCCAAACATGCATTTGGGACCCATTTCTCAATCTTTTACCATATAGCTGTATGGTGGTAGCCTTCTGTGACCCACCTTGCATCAGGGTACATGATCCACCAGTTGAAGACCAGTGATTTACACTATAGGTATAGGTTTGGATTTTAACTGCAGTCTTTCAGACACAAGTACAGCATATCATCCAGTAGAACACACTAGTCCCCTACTTTTAGGGCAAAAAACTATCAGTTTAAGCAGCATAGTATACAGATATTAAACAGATCTCTGTGCATCAGCTCTCTAGCATAACAAGAACAAAATAATTGCATGGCAGAAATATCTACATTCGCAAACAATATTTCTGTTTTCTCCCACTATACTACATGCTACACATACATAAATATGGCAACTGGGTGAAAGCATGCCTTAACAAAAATAATGGTCTTTTTAAGTACTCATTCCATACATTCTCAGAAGATGAATTATGGCTTCTTTCTTCTTCATGTCAAAAGAGCAAATTAAATGGCTTAACTCCACATTAAAGCAGACTGTGGATTGGCCTAACTTTTGCTTCTCGTACACTGAGCGGATCAAAAACTGGAAGGCAGCCTAAAAGAGTGCTTTTCTTCAACTCTTTGGTGACAGACACATTCCAAGACTACTAGCTTCTACATGGAGACACAGAATATTAAATGTATATGGCAACATCTCCTCTATGCTATAAGCGACAGCGAAGTATTCCTGAAATAGCTTTGCTGGGCAGCTGCTGGTTTCTCCAAACTTATATATAGAAATGAAAAGTCACCAGCAAACAAAATCCCTTACATCTGCCAGCAGCATTTTGCAGGCTGTCTGTAGGTAGGATGAACTTTGCTTGGTCCTGCTTTTGCATGGATCATACCATATTCACAACTAGATAAGTACATGTAGGAGGGTGTCTATCCATAGTTAGCAGAAAGTTTTATCAGACTACCATGCTCTCCACTTCCCTTCAATCATAAAATACAACCATATGCCATGAAAGGAGGGGCTTTCAAACACTAATGTCGTGTTCAATCTGTTCCTTTCCCATGTAGGAGTCGGGGGTGGAATCCAAAGGAGTGAGAGGATGGAGTACGAGTAGTGAAAGCACTAAGACCAGCCAGTCAAAACCATGGCTCTACTCTCACAAAAAGAAAGGGGGGGGGACATGAGCTGTGCAGTGTAGGACCTGGAAACTCACACAAGAGGTACTGCTGCATATGAGCCATGATTAATGCTCCCCTGCTGGTCTCAGCAAAGCTTGATGATAACGCATGCTGATGGCTTTGAGATGTGGTAGCAGCTGAAAGCTGTCTTTTGGGTGTTCACAATTCAAAATGATAATCACACTAATAGGGTGTGTTAGGGTCTTTTTTAAAAATGCTCATTCCAGTGAATTTCTTCCAAAATTATTATGACTCTGGCAAGTCCTGGAAGTGTGTGTGTGTGTGTGTGCGCGCGTGCACACGTACGCACGCACACACTTGCATAAACTGCCTGTTGACTTGGGAGATATAGCTTGAGCAAGAGATTTGTCATGCTGTTCTGATCTATCTACCCAGTTCTTATATTATTCTGGAGGTCATTTTGCTTCTTTATAAAGTGCCCTCATTCATAAAGAGCTGCATTATACATTTCATTCACATTAAAAGTAAATTTGCTTTATAGTTTTTTTCTTATTTCCCCCCCAATATGCAGTCTGTATGAAAGTGGATCTTTTCTGTACTGATTAAAAATCCACTTCAAGTTTTCCACAAACTCTAGTATATCAGAATCTGGAGATGTTCCAATCCAGGTTTTATTGTGGACTGAGTCTTTCCATTGCCTATTAACAACATTCATTTACAGAAGAGCTAAAATATGACTTTAGGGTCATGTGTGGAAAGGTTCTAAGTGGTAATTTTGACTGGTATGAAGTGCAACAGTACTAAGGATGTTGGTGAACATGGAGCATACAGTAGTGAGTCAATAGCAGTCTTCTCAAAATCTTGGAAAATATGAAGACATACTGAAAGTTTATGTTCGTGCTGCCCCTGCCAGTTTAATCCTTGCACGTCTCTAGTCATCGTAGAATTGTCCAAGAAAAACAAAACAGTTCTGATTGTCTTTTTTAAAAGAATAACAATCCTAGAGACAGGATAACACCCCCTCCTCCCCAAGAAACTTGAACAAGAAGTAAGCTGTTCACTCTTCTTTCCATTCATCACAAAACTGGCAGCAAACAAGTATATTTTCCCTCTTCAGATTGCCTTAAAACAATGGATTAAGTATTGCGAAGTACCTTCGCCAGGACTCCTGAACAAATTCCAGACAAACCATGTTTGTCTGTAGCAAGAAAATTCCAGACAAACAACGTTTGTAGCAAGAAAAAAGGCAACACACACAAACACACACACCACCACCACTAAGTAACCCAGGGTATTTTAGGTCATGTTCATATATACAGGTGGGGGTTATGTTCTGGGCCCCGACATGCATAAGTGAAATTGCATAAAGAGGGGAGCAGCCTCTAAATGCCTATTTCACCCTGCTCTCCAGCTCTCTCTCCTGCTATCTCTCCAATCCAGACCAAAATATCTAGAGCTCTGGGGTTATCTTTCTGGATGAGTTGTGATGTTGTAGCTTCCATTTCATTAGCTATACTGAAACTGTGATCACAATCACTATAGGTGCATATTATCACCTCAGATGTGACAATGATATTCACTTTGCCTACAGCTAATATATGGGATACAAATGACTACAATTTTTTAGTGTCAAATTGAGAGCAGGTGTGCTTAAAGATGAATTTTCTTTTTAATGGAAATGGGTGGTGGTGGAATCTTACGTATTAACAATTCAGTGTTCTTAAACAACTGAACCCAAACGTATTAAAGCAATGGGAAGAGGAAATGGAAAAAGAGAATCAAGTCAATTGTTCCTACTCTTGAAAATATACAACTTTCTTTCCTGTCTTTATTGTATTTTTCATGGGTAAAAACTATTGGTTTGCACGGAAGGCAAGATTTGGTTTGCATTCTGTTTTGGAAAATGGGTCAGTTCACAAACACCTCAGACAGCTTTGAGTACCACTTGCTTTGCCTTGGGTCTGAAGCCTTGCTTTAGAAAATCAAAGGTTTCAGATGTATATGCATTGACTAACATGAAGAAATACACAAGGGGAAACCTTTTTACTTTCTTTTCAGAATTAGGTGAACTTTTCAGGAACAGGAACAGTTACTGAGTTAATGAGGCTGCCAAATTGCATATAAATATGTGTAGGAGGTTTTTTGGTGTCGAAATTTACAGTTTGAGGGTTTGTTTTTAAAGTGAAACTTATAACAGAAAAGTTATAGGAAGAATTGGATGGAATTTGCAGACATAGCAACCCCTTCTGAAGGGATGAAGCTTGCTAAATTTCAGGCAAAAGGGTTTTTATGCAAAAGTCTTGGGGAAGTGGATTTTCATACCTAACCCATATGTGATTCTGGGGGCACTTTTATGAAAATGGCATATAGAGCACATGTAACCCTATGTTAGTAACTTCCAAAATTTCAGAAAGATAGGTGCAGGGGTTATGGAATTATGTTGAATGAAAACCCATGTGAGGCTGTGCTTTTGCTTTATGTTCATTTAACAGTAAGTGGTAAATTCCTTCTACATTCTATCCTGTTCTGCTGGGACTGGGGCCCTTGGGGATACATGGTAATGAATACCAGAGCCTCTTCCATTCCAGGTCTGGTTTGGTGGAAGGCAAAGCAAATCAGGACCCTGGGCAGCTCCTGGTAGGCCCTGCTAGTTGAGTTCAGGAACTGCTGCATTAGCTGAAACAGAGTCCTCTGCAGGCAGTGCAATATTCCTGTTGAAGTTAGGAAACAAGAATTGTACACCGTGTTCAACGTTTAGTCACACCATAGATTTGTATAACAGCAGGTAAAGGTAAACGACCCCTGGACGGTTAAGTCCAGTCAAATTCGATTATTAGGTTCACTTTCAGGCTGAGGGAGCAGACAGTTTTCCCGGGTCACGTGGCCAGTGCACGGAACACTGTGATGAGTGCCAGAGTGCTCAGAAATGCCATTTACCTTCCCACCGCAGCAGTCCCTATTTATCTCCTGTGCTGCTTTGCCTTCAGACTGCTAGGTTGGCGGGAGCTGGGACAAAGCAATGGGAGCTTACCCTGCTGCACGGATTCGAACTGCTGACCTTAGCAGTTTTATTTTCAGTTCCTTTCCTAATTATCACTAACCTGGGATTCACCTTTTTCACAGCTGCCACAGCTGTGGGTTGTCATCTTCATCAAGCTATGCACTATGAGCCCAACGCCTCATTCCTGGTCAGTCACCATCAGTTTAGAATCCAATAACCTATTTGTGAAGTTAGGATTCCCCCCAATATGCATCACTTTACTCTTGCCTGCATTGAATTACAGCTGCCATTTTAATGCTCATTCATTTAGTATGACAAGAGCATTTGGTGTACCTCAGAACCCCATTTTTGGGGTTCTGGCGGCTTCATTGATCATCCCTAACTCTAGATCATTTAGGAAGAAGTTAAAAACCAGAAAATGCTGCTGAGATTCTCATTTTAAAGTCTTCTTTTGACAATGTGTATCTGTATTTTTGTGTGTGCTTAAATTTTGGGGTTAACTTTTAAAATTGGTTTAGGAATATGTAAATTAATCAGATATTAATATATTAAAAAGTTGTTGGTGAAAGGAACAGACTAGCTAAAGCACAATGGATGTTGATGAAATTGCATATATGTCACCCATGTCCAGGCAATGTGAGAGAAAAGAAGTGAATAAGGTCAAAGATGGACCACCCCTGAAGCCTCTCGCTAGTGAAGACCCACTATGTCTCTTTTAGTGCTTTTGGCAGAAAATGTCAAATGTCAAAGTTCTTCTCTTGTTCATTCTAATTTGTGCTAATGGACTTCTTGAGTGTTCAGCTCACTGCTATTTCATCCATGTGGGCGACAAGACCATATGGATGGATCACTAAAGGAAATAATTAACTTGACAAACTGGCAAAAGTGGAAGAAGAGCAGGAAACGCTCCACTGCTGTGAGCTGCAGTACATCCCCAGTTTCTGCAGATCGCAACCTGAGCTGATGATGCCAGCAACATATGGAGCTTTTATCACTACAGTACTGAGAAAATAAATATACCCAGCTTATTCAGTTGCAATAATCTTCAAGGTTAACGAGGCCCATGCTATTTAACAAACAAGTGAGGGCTGGTTTATGCAACCAAGTACATCATTTGATTTCTCTAGAGTTGCTCACTGTACTCCTCATATAGGCAGACTGGAAGCTGCATGTAAGAACTGAGGCTCAAAAACAACACAGTATGCTGAGTGCATAGCAAACAGTTATGTGTCTTGCTTTTCTTAAATTAATTGCAGCTGTAGAGAATCCCTGATTGTTATCAAGAGCACAGCATCCACAGAGAGGAGGTTTATCTCCCCCCAGTTCCCCAAGAAAATCTACTCTGGACAGCTATGGGTTATAGTAAAAAGAAGTTTTACTTATTTCATTAAAATTATATACCACTTGATTGTTTAAAAAAAAACCCTCAAAGTGGTATGCAGAAAGAATAAAACAACGAAATTATCAATAAAAACTGTTAAAAGTAACAAATTTAAACCTTCAAAACTATTGACAATCAATAATGAGCCAAAAAAACTGATTAAAACATGTCAACATTCTGAATGTCTGCATAAAAAAGGTAAAGGTACAGACCCCTGACAGTTAAGGTGAACGACTCTGGGGTTGCAGTGCTCATCTCGCTTTACTGGCTGAGGGAGCTGGCATTTGTCTGCAGACGGTTTTTCTGGGTCATGTGGCCAGCATGACTAAGCCACTTCTGGCGAAACCAGAGCAGCGCATGGAAACACCGTTTACCTTCCCACCGGAGCAGTACCTATTTATCTACTTGCACTTTGACGTGCTTTCAAACTGATGGGTTGGCAGGAGCTGGGAATGAACAACAGGAGCTCACCCCGTCATGGGGATTCAAACCGCCGACCTTCTGATCGGCAAGCCCAGGGCTCAGTGATTTACACCACAGCGCCACCCATGTCCCAAGTCTGCATAGACTTGCTTAAATAAAAATGTTGTTGGCAGGCACTGAAAAGAGCTGGTGTGCCTTCCTGGTGTCAACAGGCAGAGAGTTCCAAAGTTTTGGTGCTGCCATGCTAAAAGGCTGATTTCTTACAAATGCAGAATGAGTATTATGTGGTACCTGTAACACTCCAGATCTGCAGATCAGAGTGGTTGAATCTGAAAATATCTTGCAGGTAAACTAGTCCCAAACTGTTAAGGAGTTGAAATACTAGCAATGGCACCTTGAACTTGACCTAGTGACCAATCAGCAAACAGTGCAGATTTCTCAGTGCAGGAATTATATGCTGACAAGGTCTCACTCCTGTCAACAGCTGTGCTGCAGCATTCTGCACTAACACCAGTTTTTGGGTCAAATGCAAGGGAAGCCCAACATAGAGAGCACTGTGGTGATCCATTAGTTCCCATCACTGTTAATAAGAACTACTTCTCTTCATCTCTTACTAAAACTCATAGCTGGACAGGGGGGATTTCTTTTTGGGGGAGACAGCAAGGGAGACAAAGGATAAACTTCCACTCCCTGCATGCTGCAATCTCAAAACCAAACAAACAATCACCACTGCTGCAATTAATTTAAGAAAAGGAAGAAACATAGCATCAAGTATACCAGCTACTTTGGCCCTGACTCTATGAGGAAAAAACTTTGTATTTGAAGTGATATGAAATTTCTATCTTATATTGATTCTGTGATTGAAGGTGCAGTTACCAAGTGATGAACTTGAATTTGTGAACCAGAACTTAAGAGTGCGATCCTATGCATGTCTGCTCAGTTGTGCCACTGAATTCAATGGGACATCCCCAGGCAACTGTCTAGGATTGTAACATTAGAAACTTACAGTATTTTCAAGGATCTGCTAGTTCTTGCAGTTAGATCTCTGCTTTGATTCATATAACCTCTCAGATTTAAGTTTATTTTTTGTAAAACCGAAATAATAATAATAATAATAATAATAATAATAATAATAATAATAATATAATTTAATGTATGAATTGCTTCTTATGAAGCATCTCAAAGCAATTTCACAATCCAGAATAGAAATGTTAAGAACTCTGTGCATAAACACTACCATCTAATACCCACTTCTGAAGCCAAAACTATAGCAGACAGCTAGCTAACTCATCAATTATTTCAATATTAATCAAAAAGAAAAGAGGAAATAATAAAAAATGGAATGCTCAGTAGCAGTTATTTAAAAATCCAATGTGACTATTATAAAGTGTGTCATCAGCTTCTTTTTGGCTTTAGTTGTGTGCATGATATACTGCTTTGACAGATCTTTTCAGCAACAAATAATTACCACAAACCATTCCCATGATTTTTTTTAAAAAATCCAACTAATAATTACAGCATGCATGCCCATAGCACTATCTATATGATTTTAGAAAGATTTCCCCCCAGATAATTATTATTATGAACATTATATCTGACTTTCTAAGCTATTGTGCTATGAATATATGTGTGCACTGCCTTTAAAGGGCTGTTTTGGCCCTGCAAAGCAGCACAAAAATATTTCATTAAACATATTTGCTTTTTCACAGAAAAAATGCTCCTGATGAGACGATTGTGGCTGTGATATAACAAAAGGCAAACTTACTTACCTACTACCTGGATGATTTCAGCCAGTAAAACTCCGTCAGTCACATCTTGTTGCAGATCTTTTATCAAACGTTTATGACCAGATTTTGCTAGATAGTGATTGGCCCAGTCTGTATAAATCTGTGAAAACCAGAGAGGGGATTAAAAGATACGTATTAATCACAGTGTCTAATTGGCTTTTTAAACCATAATTTTATCAAGCAAACTAGCTAAAGCCAACCACCAAGGTTTGCAATCCCTGGACTATAACGTTTCTCTTCTTTTTCCCTGAGCTGATTGAAACAAAGTTAGCAACATTAAAATTCAAGGCATTGTGCTAATCAAGTATTCAGCTTATTATAGCAGGTCTTTCTTGTATAGAGAAATTTGACATCAGAGCTGGAGGAAACTAAAGAAAGCTTCTAAACATGCTAAAGCCTGAATGGGTTATCAGACATGGAACTAAACAGTCTGCAAGAGAGACTGGGCTGAATTTCTCTATTTATGCTAAAGAATTCAATGTCCTAGTACTGAAAAAGCTGGAGCATATTTTTTGCAGCAAACATTAGACATTTTTACATTAAAAAAATTCTGTAAATGATCCACAGTATTTTAAAATCAGTTAGGTTTATTTAAATTGCTAAAGTCTTTTTGGATGCAGATAGCAAGAAACCTAAATGATATTGCTATTCACTTTACATGTGAAACATTCTCCTTACACATTACCAGCTCACAGTTCCAAAGCTGGTATCCCAAATTAGATTTGTGAAACATATATCCCATTCATCCTAAAATAACCTCATATATCTATGGATATCTTCACTGGTAACGCCTAATATTGTTTCTAAAGGATTTATATATTATTCCTGAATATACTTTGCAATTTTTCTATGTAAAGACTTCAGAAAGAAATTGGAAACGTTCCTACTTTGATAACATTCATATCCAAGTTATATTCCATTAAAAAAAAAATATCCTATGTATTAATGATACATAGTACTGCGCTAATTGGTGACATAACCTGAGTAACCTTTGTATGGTAATTCTATCCTGCACATAAAATATAAGACATTTGCTTGCATTATTTTTAAGAATGCAAAAGCACATATAGACCAGAGACGAGATATTTGATTGTTGCAGAGTTAAATTGCATGTTGCAAAAACACTCTTAGGGAACAAGCTCTTTTAGTCAAGAAAGAATATTGTGTTTAAACACAATTCTTCAAAGAAAAAGTCAGCCATCTTCACACCCCAGAAAGAACCATGTGGCAGGGGGCAGACTGTGGTTGTATGGCACCCTGAGTGTTGCAAAATTTGGTGCCCCCCAATATTTCTTATTTTCATGCCCTCCTTCCTCTCGCCTTCCATTCTGCACCCCCTTGTCTTGGCACCCTGGGGAGGGGGGGAACCACCAGACCACCCTAAATCCAGTGTTGCATGGATACACTGGCAACTAACTGCATGTAATGGTAAAATGTGCTTTGGAACATTTAAAATGACATCGAAGAATTCATTGGAAAATGCTGTCCAAATTACAGTAATTCATCAGATCTAGGCAGACGGGATGAATGATGTTTAGCAGGTCATTTCATTTTGTCACTGCTATGATTTTCATATTTTTAATCAAAGCCGCCTCCACACCCTTCATGCAAACCATCCTCTTGTCATATCACTTTTACATCACACTCTTGGAAACCTAGTTCTTTAATGCACTGGAAAGATTAACTAAACGCAATACCAAAAAAAACCTGCTACTAATAAAGCAGTTGATAGAATTACAATGAACAACCTTGTTATTTAGTTACAAACTCAGATAGACACAGAATGCTCAGCATATTTGCCAAAAAGAAAATAGTTTAGATATGAGCTGATACAGTCTAGAAAAGGACAGGGATAAAGCTACATCTTGACACATTTGAAAATGAGAATTGTTATTAATATCATCCATTTGCTGAATACAAATTTATTCAACTATATGCATATTTGAATCTAATAGAATTATTTGTAGTGGAAGGAAGATATGTTGCCTGTGTTTTTGCTTTACAGCACAATTCTATGAATGCTAAATTACCAAGGACACAGCTCATTTTAAGCAACACCTTACTTTACATGAATTGCAAGGTCTTCTTGCACGCATTAAGCTAATTATGGAAGCATTGCAGAATACAGGCAAGAGATTGCTTGAGTTTGCAGCTTCCTCCAGTTTTGCAAGACCCTAGGAATTTCACCAATCTAGCCCTAGCTCAGTTATTGCAGAAGATAGCATCATGTGATGCCCAGCATTTCCCCATTGTCCATTGATAAACCAGTCAAAATCTGCATTGCAATTAACAAGTTCAAGTGTCTGAAAAGATCAACAAATAGATAGACACAGTGACAGAACTGGGAATATTATGCTTATTACTGTTTATAACAACAACAACAACAACAACAACAACAATCTATGTATCAATTTTTAACAAGACATTAAGTAACTGAATCTAGTCAAAAACTCTGAAGCATTGCACAGAGTTCTGAAAAAGTGTTATAATGAATCAAACCATAACTTCATCAACCCTGGAACTGTCCACTCATGACTGGCAGTGCAGTCCAAAGTCTCAAGTCCAGACTTTCTCCAGTTCTTCTACCAGAGATTCTTTTAACTGGATATGCAAGAAATTAAAATTGTGACTTTCTGAAGGCAAAGCAAGTGCCTTGCCAGCAAGGGACAAGCAAGATTTGAGAGTGGCAGTTTCCATTTCTAGCTTACTCTTCCCATAGTTTCTGTCTACCACCTCAAGTGCTTTCCTCCATCCCAGTCAAGTTTTCAGGTAGGGCTGTAGCTTATTGATAGCGCATCTGTGTTTGCTGTTCCATGCTTTCCAGATTCAATCCTTGGAATTTCTAGGTAAGGCTAGAGTAGACTCCTGTCTGAAATCCTGGAGAGCTAGATGTTGCTGAACTACAACTCCCATCACACCCAACAAGCATGGCCAATGACCAGGAATGATGGGAGTTGTAATTCAACAACATATGGATAGCCAAAGGTACCCTGCACCTTCTGTAGACTAGTGGTCTGGCTCAGCAAAAGGTACCTTTCAATGTTTCCCTTGTTCCTCGGATAATGAAAGTGGCTTAGGCTGGCGGGGGTGGGAGGGCAGGGATGGAGAAGTACTTGGGGAGAGGAGCTATAATTGGCAAGGAAGGACAATAGTTTACTTATGCTCCAATTCTGGCTGTTCAAAACTGAACCCTGTGCCTCTGCATGATTGCTGTCGTCCAATATGGACCTTCTGTTCCCTGTAGATTTTTTTCAAATGATGCTAAAAACATGTATTCATGGATTAAAAAAAACTACTATTAAATCACAACAGTTGCCTCTAACACATATATGATGAAAGAGCTATATGTGAAAAAGAGTTCCACGCACACCCTTTTCATACTCTGGGTTTGAATTAGGGATGTGCCAGGTCAATATTGTTTTTCCAAATATAACCCAGCATTTTTCAGTTCACTGCTGAAAGACTAAAGACAGAGCAATCAAAGTTCTGACAGATGACCTCATAAAGTCAATATAAACAGGACACTGCCTGTAAGAAAACAAGAGTAAGACCTAAGGAAACAACTATATTCTAAAATTCGGAAGCTTAAAGGCACAAGTTGGGGAAAATATGTAAGGGTGGCTGTCAAACATGTGGCCTTGTCAAATGCTTTGACTGTCACACACCCACAACTTTTGGAGGGCCCAGAACAATGAACTGGTTATGACAGGTGAACTGGATTTATTCAGTAGACAAAAGACTCTTCTATCATGTGCACAAAAGTTCCCATGGAAATTTTGTTAAAAACTAAGCACATTTATTTACCCTTAGTTTCATCAAGCTGACAAACTCATTAATCAAGCGCTGAGCTGAACTTCAATTTCTTAAAAGCTTAAAAGAGTGACATGATAAATGAGCAAGAGGCCCGCTCAGGAAATATGCTTTACTTGACGGGAGAAGGGGTGGGGTGGGGTGGGGAAAGAAACCTACCAAACCATGGTTTCACTTGAGTAAACCTCCACTGGGATCCTGGTCACTGGGACTTTTCATTTTAGAGAAAAGGTGAGTAAGAGGCAGGATGACAGAAATGTATAAAATAGTACAGGTAAGGAGGCAGGGGATAGACAGAAGCTTTTCTTCATCTTTCTAGAACTTGTGGACATTCAGTGAAGCTAAACGCTGGAAGACTCAGAGCAGACGCAAGAAAGTATTTCTTCACAGAGTATATGGTTAAACTATGGATTCTGCTTCTATGAGAGGTAATGATGGCCAGCAGTGTGGGTAGCTTTAAAAGAGGATTAGACAAACTCATGGAGGATAAAGCTATGAATTGCTACAAGTCATGATGGCTATGCTCTGCCTCCACTTTCAGGCTATTATGCACATGAATAGCTGCTGCTGGAAAGTACAGGAGGGGAGAGTTCTCAGGTCCTGCTTGCAAACTTGTCACAGACATCTAGTTGTCCACTATGAGAACAGGATGCTGAACTAGATGGGCCTTTGGTCTCATCCAGCAAGCTATTCTTTTGTCTTTGTTCATACAGATGAGGGCTGGGTTATAAATATTTTTAATTAAAAAATAAATCAAGAACAATTAAGAATGGTTTATACACACACATAAGTGCAGAGCAAAAGTGCATTTGGAAGCTCCCTTGGAATTTTTATTTGTCACATACAACTACTTTCTGTAATGAAATGCCTGTGTTCCTGACTTTGCTTCTCATTGCCAGTTACTAACAATGAAATGCATTTTCTTCTGCTGTCCCTCTGAACATCTTCCTTTGAAGAGATGTTTGTGAATCAGACACTCATGAGTATGACTCAAGGAGATACCACAGCAACAGCTGAGCACTGTATTTTTGATAGCAAATACCATAATTAGAACTGACTAAAGAGTGTGCTCCGCTCCTTGATGGCTGACAAGGTTAGTCACAGAAAAAAAGCCCCGCAAAAGAAAAGAAAAAACATGTGTTCAAATGCAGTGCCTCTCATGGTGCTATCTAAAACCACAAGGGACTGTTGAGATTCACACTATGCTTAAACTTAGCATCAGCACTCTGAGGTGATCCTCACAGGAACATTCACATTTCCTGCTTCTCACAATCCCAAGTGCAAAATAAA